AAACAATTTCTTACTACCATATTGTAACGCTGTTTGAAGAAAACGTTTATGCGTGTTAAGCGTGCCTTTATACGTTTAGAAATACACTCTCTAAAGCAGTATTCATTTTGAAAAAAATTTAATTTTTAGATTTTTCCCTTTTGTTACAATGTAAAACCTACCTTTGTGCCAAATTTCACGTTTTTACCTATACGGGAAGTGTCTTATAGTTTTGATGATCAGGAGTGAGTCAGTAACAAAATTGCAAATTTTGAAATTCTCCCATTTTGAAATGGTACAATATGAAGGGCTCATTTTCTTACAGCATCCTAAACAACTCGAGATTAATCTGTATTTTAAATTTCAAAAGTTTATCTTAAGAGGAAACAGAGAAATATGAATTAGAATAACTGGGCGAATTGGTTAGTGTAAAGATAGCATTGCTGGAACTTGGCTGACGCACTACCGTGCGCTCAGATGTTTAAAATGGAAATAATATGTTTGCATTAAACCTCGGTATAAGAACTAATAATAAAATTATAAATATAAGAAATACAATGATAGAAGAAACAAATTTTAAGCGTTTCGAACTCATATAAAAATATTATACTTTTTGTTAATATAATATACTTTGCATAATATGATATAAATAATATAATATTTACTTAAAAAAAAATAAATAAAAAGTGTGATAAAAAAAAGAAGATAATATCAAAGAACCTATACGAAAAGAATTCCGAATAAAATAATTTCGTACAAATTCATACATATTACGCATTAATTATTTGCAAAATAAATTTTTTTAATTGTATATTTTTACTGAATAACGTAATTCCAGCCCCTCCCGAAATAAACGAAATTTTCTCGGTGAACAAGTTCCGTTCAAATTCTGAAAATAGTTGTACAAATAACATATTAATTATAAACATGAAAATATCTTACATTTTTGGATAGATGGAGCATAGTAATGGACGTTAAAAAATATATGAATATATAGAATATGCATAAAATATGCACAACATAACGAAATTTTCTTAAAAATATTCAAAATATGCAAAAAAATTTAATATTTCAAGTATGGGGCTTATGACTTATATTTATATCTGGGTTTTCTATAAAATAAAAACATGTAAATCCTATAACTTCTTTGGCTTAGTAATGACCAGTGCCGTGCATTATTTAGATAATTTTTCTTGATAAAAACATTTATCTTTTTAACTTATCTAGATCAAAATAATTTGAAGTATCTTTCTATCCACCTTTTGAAATAAAATGGTTACCCGATATAAATTATCTAGATAATTTAAGATAATTTTTTTGTGGAAACGAAGAATAAAAATATTCAATAGTACCGTATGTAAATTTAAAATTTTAAATAGACGAATTCTACAGACGAAGCAAAAGGTATAACATATACGATTATTTTTACAGAAAACATAATTTCAAATAATATTACATTTTATATTGATATACTATTTTTTTCTTTTTTTTGATCGACGACTGGGTGATACCCGTTTGTCTAATGCTTACGCCCGGAATATAATAATATACCTAATATTATAGACCAATATAATAATATAGACAGTAATAATTAAACTCATACAGTCATATAAAGTCAATACCTCTCTGGAACGTTCCATAAATAACTGCGCATGATCTGGAATTATAATGATTGAAGTAATAAATAATAATAAAACCAACCACTGACTTCTAGTGACCACGGCTAAATATATATATTTTATATGATTTAGCGTTTTTGTATGCATTTCGTTTAACTGCATTTAAATCAAAGACAAAGTGATGACCATCAAATTAAATAATTAAATTAGAATATTACAACATAACACGGTAGTATTATACACATCTACAGTATATCTGTAGTATCGGTAAAATACGATTGAGAACGCTCGATTTTTTTTTCCAACATTGCCAAATGTAATCGATCGATAATATGAGTACAATAATCTGTTGATATTTATCGGACTTTTATCGGGTTAGCTGGATGTTAATAGTAACTTAGATACCAGATACGAGAGAATGACGGTTAGGCTTTGCGGTCGTCGCACAAACTATTCGTCTATTCGTATTAGATATTTTTATAAGTTCTACATATTTTACAATTTTTTCATATGTATATGCACTATACAGGTATTAGATATTCTTATAAGTCATACATATTTTTAATTTCTTATTCATATTATATATTACATATTATTAAGCAATTATTTGTGTATGATTATAATTATTAGTTTATGACTTTTTCAAGAGTATTTATTGCATGTATACTGAATTTTTCAAAAGCCAAATAAATGATATGACAAACTATGACAACGTTGCACATAAATTCGTTCTTGATCGTATCGTTTTTCGGGTTTTTTTTGGGGTCAGTGGTTTGTTCTTTGTTAATTTAAAATGTTCTCAATCGTTCGATAGCCTATAGTATATTATGTACACTCCTGTCATATTAAATAGTTGTATGTTTAAATCATATTCGTTTAGTATTGAAGGAATAAAAATTATTACATTTTTTATTATTAATTATTTAAATTATCATGTGTTGATCAAATGTTTGTATATCATTTTGAATTTCAACACTAGGGTTTGTAAATCAATCAATAATTAATATTGTATTAAATAAAAATAAGTACAACTTGTTTATTTATACTTTTATATAATATTTATGTTTAAATAATTTTAGTGGGGTGTATAAAAAATAAAAATGATATTTTAAACTAAATGAATCATGATTAATAATTAATTTTCTTATTAGTAAAAAGATAATAATTTTACAGATGTAGCTTTTAAAAAGTTTCTCTTTTTTATCTATATAAATGTAGTTATGTCTTATTTATTATTTGGATAAATATTTAAATAGTCACCTATTATATTATCAAGATAATTTTTTTAATTACCTTTATACAACACCGGTAAACGACCAATGAAATAATAATGCTATGTCTATATTTTTCCATATTAATTAAATAAAAATAAAAAATACATTATTACATCGATATAACCGAAAATTTGAACGTATAAATGTTAATAATTTTTAGCAGCTCATATAGTTTACAGTTTTGATATGTACTAAAAAATTTTCATTCTGTATTCAAAATTATTACGTTCAAACTAATATTTATTCCATATTCTTAACGTTTGCGGTGATGCAACTTTGTGATTTTATTTTCTCGTGGTAATTTTGAAATATTTTCCTCGAGATTAACTAAACAACCGTACTCGGTTGCTCGAATTTCAACATTAACGTGTACAATAATATTGTGTAAGACATCGAGCAGGATAACGGGTTATTTTGGACGAAAAAAAAATAATATTTATGTGTGAGTCTACAATAGATAACATAATAATATATTTCATAAAATGTGATTTTGAAATTTAAAAATTAAAAAAAAAAATACATTTTAAGCCTACGCTAATAATTTTTTCAACAAAAACATTGCGATCAGTGTGTAACAGCAGTATCGTAATTATTATTATTATCATAGCACCAATTGATTCAACTGTAACGTCAAGTTATGTTTCGTATTAATAAAAAAGTTACTACGGTAAAAATATTTGACTATTAATACCAATAAATAATTATATGATCTAATAAAATTAATCAACTACAAACGAAGTATATTGTAACAAAAAAAAAAAAAAAAATATCGCTTACAAATAATTAATTAAATATATTTAATATAATATTATGAAATAGTGTATGGGTGTTAAGTGTTATAGTCGAAAAGGATGTATCCCAAGAATTCGGTTAGCCGAGTTTTGGTTAGTTTAATCGATTACTGAATACATAATATCTTTCTAAAATATGTAAATAAAATATAATAACTAATATATTATGCCCACCTTATTTTACTTATAAATATAAAATTAATATGTATAAGGTGAAACGTTTCACAGCACTGTGCTCGGTTTTCATTTTGACAATAAAAACTTTATGATATATTATGTGGTTATATTCTGTAAGAACGATTACACTAAGACACGTTAGGTTGCTTAATTTACAGATACACTGTATAGATTGTTTTGCGGGTGGGAAGGGGATGGTATTGATAAGGCCACACGTTTACAGTACCAAAAGGAGAAAGACTATATTATTATATACTTTAAATGCTAGCACGCGCGTTGTAGTGCAAGTACAATACGCTCACGCAAAGTATTATATGATTGCTGTTCAAATTTCTCAAATCCTGACTAGTTTTTCACAAAATAAATGATAATAGTAATAATAATAATAATAATAATAATAATAATAATAATAATAATAATAATA